GAAAAGCTAGAAAGCTGAAACTTTATGGGAATGCTCCCTACTCATGTACGAGTAAAATCAAGTGTTAAGAAGCACCCGGGCCCATGTACGGGCACGTGGAAATTTTGGCGCGAAAATCACTAACCCGGGAACGCAAAAAGCTAGGAAGCTGAAACTTTAGGGTAATCTTCCCTATTCATGTATGACCAAAAGATTTCAAATTTAGCTCCTTAAAACCGTCCGGTACTCATGTACGGACACGTGAAAATTTTGATGGGGAAACTGCTAACTCGGGGACGAAAAAAGCTGAAGGCTTTAATTTTAAGAGAATGTTCCCTATTCATGTGCTACTAAAAGATCTAAAATTTAACTCTTCTAGTGCGAACTTTTTCGCGGACCAGAAATTTTCCATTTGTCGGGTCACTGAAGTCGACATCTACAACTGACATACCACATAGCTGCACAATTAGCTTCCCGAACTTCGAGGGCCAGTATGCTATTGTAATTCCTTGTGACCTTGCCTCAGTACGAAAAATGCAAAAACGCATAATCGCACCGGCCCGCCTGGTGCATTCCAGCCTGGGTTTAAATGAAGATGGGAAATTCCCGAGGATAAGGATTGGATGGTAAAAGCTTTTGACAATAAAAATGGGGCGGGACGAGGGGGGAGAGGGTAAAAAACTCTTGAGGAAGAAAACTCGGGATAGAAATGAACGACCGTTTATCCAGCTGTCGTGATAGCAGATGGCTTTTTTCGTTTTTCGCTTCTTTTTGTCATTTTTTTTTTTTTTTTTGCTTCGTTGATTACGGTACACCTCGTAAAGCATGCCCAACAAAAATTTCCCGACCTTTGCGCTTATCAATAACTGCTTTATTAGAAAGAAAAAACGCAGAAGAATAATCGAGGGACGAAAAAGCCTTGTTATTAGAGTCGTCATTATACGAATATTCTTTTGCTGCAAGTGGATAAACAAAAAGGAAATATTCCAACCAGCTGTGAGAAGCAGAGGTTGTTGATATAGGTAGATCCATGGTAAAGTGCATATCTAGTTGATGTGCCTCATCAATTAATAATTTTAAATCGTTCGTCGTACCAAAACGCTCATCAACGCTCGCGAAATCTACCACATCTAGTGGCAAGAAGTCGTCCTGAAATTTTATTCAAGTAACAAATATTGTACCAGTTAAATAGTTCTTTGAAAAGGAATTGCATTTTTCTGCCAAGTTCTCACATTGCTCCGCAATGGTTAATATACTGACCTTCTGAGTAGCAATCACAGGTGTCACCCAAATTGTTTGTATCCCAACTTTACGTAAATCATTGAGTTTTTCCTTGATCCCACTGAAATCGCCAATCCCATCATTGTTGGAATCACGGAATGAAGGTGTAAATATCTGAAAATAACTGTGATCCCAGTCACTGAAATATTAGCACTGGATCCACACGTTAATTTTTTTTTTCGAGTTGATGATGATAATCTCCATCTGTTAATTGGTCACTGCAACAAACTCTTTTGTGTATTTGCTGATTCATGCAACAGGTACATACAACGGCACAAAGCAAAAAGGTATCCCCATATAGGTCCTTGGATGTGCGGTGCTGTTTGATTTACTGCTGTAATAATATCACACCATCACTGGCTACGCCAGACCGTCAAAATACACATCTTGTAGCAATCCCGATAGCCAACAATTATTGCTTCAATATAGTAAGTATAAGCGCGGCCTCACCTGATAGCTTACATGCTTGCGCCACCATTCCGGTTCCTTCTTCAGCACACATTTCGGACTAAGGACCACAAGCACAACTGCTCCAGCGAACATCAGTATCCAAGCCACCCAGAACAACACGAACATCACATATCTTCAAATCATATCCGAAGATAAAAAATGATAATCACGACGACTAAACGTCACAAGTCAAAATTTCTTCAACATCTGCAGTCTGTGAGAGGCGGAGGCACTGAAGTATACCAAGGATAGCTAGATGTCAACAGGAGCCATCTGCCAACAAGGCTGTCAATGGCTTCTTTTTGCGAGAGCTGCTTACAAAGCAAGCTGATAGTGGGGATGACTTCATGGGCAAAATGTTACGTAAATTATACACATCTTGTTGAATGAGTGATAAGGATAGTGTCGCACACATGAGAAAAATTAAAATCCAATGAGTGGGAGAAGATGATTAATTTGCTACAGACCAGTAGACATTGCATATCAATGACAGCAGCAAGAAAAAAGCAATCTTTTGAACAGTTTCTGAGACTCTGCATTTAGGAGTCCAGATTACAATTTATAATTGGCCAGCGCACCAGCAGTCGGTGCGCTGGCCAATTATAAATTGTAATCTGGACTCCTAAACGCAGAGTCTTAGAAACTGTTCAAAAGATCGCTTTTTTCTTGCTGCTATAGCGCTGCTACAGCCAGCAAAAACGCATACTGTCGAGAGGCTGTCTGTGTGTGTGTTCGGAATACAAGTGCATTTTGTCACCCACTTTCATCTCAGCAATCAGGAAAGCTGGGAGGCTGAAACTTTGGATAT